TTTTGAGACAGGGTCTTACTATGTAGTTCAGCTATCCTTGAATTCACTATATAGCCGAGGCTGGCCTCTAACACAGAGCGATCCTGCCTCATCCTCTCCTGCCTTCTGCCTCTTGGGTGCTGGGATTACAGGCATGGGCCACCACGCCTGGCCAGGAAGTCACTGCTTTTCATCTGCAGCTGAAGTTCTGCACTGAACTGCAGTCCTGTCCCCTCCCCTGCTTATCCCCTTATGTAAACTTAAATGTTTTTTAACCTCTTTGGCCTGCACAATGGAACTTCTCCTCAAACACCCAGGAGTGAAACTGCACCCAATCCTTTTCTTACAAGGCAACTCTTGTTAGTAGCAACAATCATAATTCCTAATGAGTGATGTAATTACTACCCCTTTGCAAATCCATAAATACAGGCATCATTTTATGGACTCCTGGAGCACCTTTTCTTTTTTCTTTTCTTTACTTTGCTTTCCTCCCTCACCCCTCCTCTTTTTCTCTTCCTCCTTTCCCTTCCCTTCTCCTTCCTTCCCTCCTATCATTCATTCATTCATTCATTCTTTGAGACAATATCTCACAATATGGTTAGTCCAGGTGACTTCAAACTCTCTATGTAGCCCAGGCTTGCCTACAACTCTCCATCCTCCTGCCTCAGCCTCCCTGGTGCTGGGACTCGATGTATATAATGCCTGGCTAGGAGAACATTTTCAAGGTCATTTGAATCTTTGTTTTCCTGAACTGCAATCCTAATTAACCTCAAATAAATATTATTTCCTTTGTTCTCAACTAGACTGATTTCACTCTTGGTCAACAAAGCAACCTTATTCTTCATTTTGGAGTCTGAGAGTTCTAAAACAAGGGCTTCATTCTGTAGTGAGGCCAGGGACTGTCAGTTCCTGTCCTCTTTACACAGTTTTGGCCCCTGTTTTGAATTGCTCCAATCTGTTTTCATGCCACCTGTCTTTGACTCTGAGCCTCCTCCTTTCTTCTTACAAGGATGCTATGGTTATATTCGAAACACAAGAATAATCTGGGGCATGTTTCCCATTCCAGTATTTTCAACTTCATTACACCTGCAAAGTTCCTTTGGCCAAGTGAAGAACATATTCATGGGTTCCAGAGATTTGGATGTAAGATGTCTTTGGGTGGGAATGTCGTCTCTCCATCTCGCCAAAATAAAATCCTTGTCTTCAGTCTCTCAGTCTCAGACTCTCTCTCTCTATTTAATCAAGGTGTTATGAGAACCCACGGGAAGAAACTAACTGAGCTTCAAGTAGCAGGTGGAATAAGGAAGGAAATTTCCCAAAGGAAATTTCCGGGAACCAGGCAGTGTTTGGTGAGGGAAAGAGAAGTTGAAGGTATCTTGATATGGGGAGAAGTGCACATGAGCACAAAAGTGGGTAGAATGTGGTTCATTTTAGCAACTCCAAGAAGATTGGAATCTGATATATAATGGTAGGGGATCAGCTGAGGTGGTCATAATTTTCCCATGGGATGGATTTTAAATTGTTCCTGGGATCTAAACCCATTTTAATAAACTGATGAGCTTTATACACCTTCTCACTAGGAAAATGCAAATACAAACAGGGCCCTGGAACAACTTCTATGCATTCCTCGGTTTGGAAATGCAGCTGTTTGTGCTGAAGGAAAGACAACTCTACCAGGGAACTGGTTTCGTTTGTCTTCTGGAGAAGGACCAGAGGAAGAGTAGAAGAAAACTATTTAGGCAGGAATCCAAGAGAGAAATACTTTCGGGCCTTGACTAAATGTGACACACTCAAGAGGAAAGGAGGTTGAATGAGAGAGAGAGGGAGAGAGAGAGAAAGGGGGGGGAGGGGCTAGAGAGAGACAGAGACAGAGAGAGAGAAACAGAGACATAGAGAGCCATGGAACTGGTAAGAACAGAGGTTCTACCTAATGGAGAATTTCTGGCTAAATAAACCCAAAGTCTGTTGACATCTATCTGTCTGTCTGTCTGTCTATCATCTATTGTTTTTGTGTAGAGGTGTAATCCAGGGCCCTGTGTGCTAAGCATAGCTTCTACCCCCAGCCGATGTTGACCGTGATTTTGTGCCAGCATCAGGGGCGTCTTTGTCTGAACCACTGCTCAGCACAGCCTTTCATCACGCAGAGACTGAAGGAGGAAAGAAGGCCCTGACTCTGGGGTCTACTCTGCCCCTGTGAGAGTTAGCAGACAGAAGGGACCTGCAAGAAAGTGAGTCAGCGTGCTTGAGTGCTTTCCACGCTAGTTGGGCTTCTCTGTTCTGAAGTAAAAATAAACCAGCAATTTATTTATCAGTAAAAGTAAAAATAAATAAATAAAAAAAAATTTCTTTATCAGTAAAAATAAATCTGCAATTCCTCAGAATGGGATTTTCTAGCACGGAGCACTGGTGGAGGCATGAGGGGCAATGAGAAGCTTCCTTCTCTGCTGCTTCATTTCCTTTTCCTCTGAAAGAGGGATGAAGTTGGGAGTTGTCCCTTCCAATATGACACTTGGCCTCATGATCGTAAAGTTTAATTTCTAGAAGTGAAAAATTTATTAAGAGAGAAAAGAAGAAAAAAAAAGAAACTCAGCATGGTGGCCCATGCCTGTTAATCCCAGCCCTTGGGAGGCTGAGGCAGGAGGATTGCTATGAGTTTGAGGCCAGCCTGGTCTGCATACTGAATTCAAGGCCAGCCGGAATAATAGAACCAGATAGTGTCTGAAAAAACAAACAAACAAAAAATCTAAAAATTCATAGTGACAAGAGTCTCTGGCACCACATGAATCAGCAAAGTTTAAGCTCTTTCTTTGTGGCAACCTTTTAAATAAGGCAGATTCGTTTATTCAAGTATGTTTTATGTAAGAGATAAAACAATGTTTAACTTGCATACAGGTAAATAGGATATATAACTTTTGTTTATGGTACTAGGGATTTTTGTTTAGTTTTTTGAGACAAGGTCTCACTATGCAGTTTGGGCTGGCCTTGAACAAATTTTGTAGCTGGTCTCCAACTCATGGCAATCCTACTGCCTCAGCTTCCAGAGTGCTATGATTATAGGTGTGCACCACCATGCCTGGCACCTGTTTTAAGTTCTATAGTTATCATAAGGCTCAATGGCCAGAATATGATTATTTGGTGCAATCTTGTGAGGTTGAATTTTTGAATATACATCTATTTCAGGAGTGGTGAGAGTAAATTGAGGTAAACAACAGCAACAAAAAGAGTCTAGTACAATGTAGGGCTCAAAGAGAAAACAAACTTAAATAACTGAACTTAGAAGATAGACTCTTCTGAGCAGTATGGGGAAATGCATTCCTTGCAAATGTGACCAGAAACTCAGACTGCCGCAGACCAGCTGCAGTCAATATGCAGTCGATGTAGGGTAGGAAGGGGAGATGTCTTGGGCCGGTGATGAGAAAAGAACCTTCACAAGCAATGTCCAGGTTCTCTCTGAGAAATCTCAGGGTCTGATTTATTTTTATATCTTTAAGCAATAGCTGGGAGGCATTGGGTGGAACATGTTTACATTTTAAATTGCCTTAGCAATTTCTGTTTTGTTTTTTTTTTGGTACTGGGGATTGAACTTGGGACCTTGCGCTTGCGAGGCAGGCACCAGAACCACTGAGCTAAATCCCCAGCCCAGCTTTAGCAATTTCTATTGAAGTAAAGGTTATTTTTTTGTTAAACAAAGTACAATTCCTCTAAGCTGTTTCATTTCATTGAACATCATGAATACATATTTAAAAATTACAATTGTCCCCTTATTAACCCACACCTAAACAGAACAGAAAGTAACTTAATCAAAATCTTTATATCAGCGGGGGTACAAGCAAGATTTAATCAACTAAGTGTCAAACTTGTGGTCGCCATCTGGCCCTTGAGAAACTGCACAATGGTTAATATAGTTTGCTATTAGCTCTCTATTTTTCTTTACCTCTATTCATCTTAACTAAATGTCATTTGGGTTCATAGTCCATGAGCAGGAGATATTTATAGCACTTTGAGAAATATTGAGTAACTTGTCTCCTTAATGCATTTACCTGTCTTAACGTTCTTTCTATTTCCCATTTTCCACTATTTCTTACATCTAAAGTCTGTCTTTCCAATCTCTTCATAAGACCCCTTTAGTAAAAAGAATGTCAGCAATAAGAGGGGGAGTCATAGTAGTGGGGAAACAGAGGGGGTTTTAGGAGAGGTTTCTTTAGGAGTGGATGTGGCAATAGAACTAAGAGAAACTGGAATTTGGGACTTGTGAGCCAGATCAGATTTCAATATATCATTGCCAATTTGCCTCATGGAGAGTTTGTTGTTAGTCACAAACACAATGACTCTTGTGATCAGAGTAACAATTATAAACATTATGGCAAGCAAAAATAAAACATGAGGGTACGATGTGTTCCACCCTTTCTTTCCCCCAGCTGGAACTTTGTCAAGCAGCAATGGAGGTCGGTTGGGCTTTGCCATCAGACCCAGCTGAGTCTTTTGGGGAGCTGGGAGTGAGCTAATTACAGTGCTCATCCTTATCCCAGAAAGGAATTTGGTATAGGGTGCTTGTGATTTAAGAGGAGGATTTTATACAGTATTATTCTCTCTTTTTTTTTGGTCCCGGAGATCGAACTCGGGACCTTGCGCTTGCGCAGCAAGCAGAGAAACCACTGAGCTAAATCCCCGGTCCTGGCCCTATACAGTATTATTCTTAAGTTATTAAACCAACGTACAGCAGGTAGTGAACGTTAAATCACGTTACCACAGAATGTAATGAGGCTATTAGAAAGAATGAGGTGATTCTACTATAGAAAGCTACCTGCCACACATTAAGTGAAAGAGAAACTTCAAGAATTTCCACAAGATTTATTTAGCTGCATTTCATAAGTGAATCTTAATCTGTATCACTGATTTTATCAGTTAGCTTTTGCTGCCCTTGGAATTGCCCCAAAACAGCCCTGGAAAGAATCCCGGATCATCCCTCTGGCTTGGGCTGTGGCTGGGGATGAACAGCAGGAGGGTCTGGGGGAGCTCACCTCTCAGGGCAGAGGCTGGTCCCACATCAGCAGGGCTCAGGCACATGGACTTCAGGGCCCAGCAGGTCAGCCCAAGGTCCTTCCCAGGGGGCCAGAAGGTTCCCTGTAAGAAGGAAAAGCAAGTGTTCATGTCCTTGTGCTTCTCACGCCTCTGAAGAAGTCACATTTCCCATCATGCCACTGGCCACAGCTGGTTCTAGAGCCAAGCACAGTGGCGGGGGTGGGTGGGAGGGGACAAATGGAGGCCATTTTCTCTGTCCTCTAACACACAGGACTACAGCATTAGTACCATGACAGTGTGGAAGTTTCTGTTTCTTTGCTCTCATTAGTTAAACTTAGGGTTTTTATTTATTTACTTATTTTTGAGAAACTGAGTTCCTATGAACTGCAAGTCTCCTTTTGTTTAATGAAATTGAGACTCTTCTGAACCCAGACCACAGAAGGTTAGTGCTGTTGTTTTCCACAGTCAAAAGCTGAGTTAGTAGGAGACCAGTCTGGAAGTGAAAAGCACAGCAGATGTAACTTGTTTGTCTGTATTTTTGTCTCTCAAGTAGAGAATTAATTCAAAGCTCACGTTGTGAATAAAGGTGAAGATACTCTGAGCTGTATCTTCTACACACCAGTCTTCTCCTGAGAGAAATGGATGCTAGGAATCTCTTAAAATGGTCTTCTACAGATGCTTTATGGGTTTGTTGGCAAATTTTTATATGCATTTCCTTTCAAATATGATTAAGAACACTTCTCAGTCTAGTTTCCAGTCAGATTTTCAGAAAATCAGGAGAAAGAAGGCAAAATGCCATGTGATCTATCTTCTGAAAAGTATTACAAATGAATTTACAAGTAATTGAAAAATATTACTGTTAGTAACCCACAGATGAATGTGATGTCAGAATTATATTATTTTTCTGTAATACTAAGCATACCCAACTGAAATGAATACATACTTCACAGAAAAAAAAATGGTTGATAAATACATGAAAAAATGCTAATACCTCTGGCCACCAAAGAAATGCAAATTAAAACAACATTGAGATTCTATCTTACTCTAAAAAGAATGAATATCATCAAAAAAATCAAACAGTAATAAATGCTAGCAGCCAGGCATGGTGGCACATGAGCATAAACCCAGCACTTGGGGAGGCTGAGGCAGGAGCATGCCGTGAGTTCAAGGCCAGCCAGAGCTACATAATGGAGTCAAGACCATCCTGAACTACATATTGAGACCCTGTCTCAAAAAAAGAAAACAAATTAAAAAATGCTGGTGAGTGTGCACATGCACGTGTATGTGAGTGGTCACCCTTCTATGTTGTTGGTGGGAATGTAAATTAGTGCAACCATTATGGAAATCAGTATGGACATTCCTCAAAAAATTAGAACTGGGAATTCCATTTGAACCAGGTGTTCTCCTTATAGATATCTTCCTAAAAGAAATAAATACATCATATTACAGAGATACAAGCATATCCATGTTTATAGAAATACAACTCATAATTTAAAACTTAGAAGCAGTTTATATAGTAATACCTCAGTTCATGAATGCTTCTTTTCACAAATAGTCTGATTCACAAACAGAAGCATTTGGCAAAATTTTGTTTCCATTCATGAACTCCACATCAGGTGACATGGAACCTTATGGGGAAATTTGATTCAGTTCATGATTTATTTATTGTTTGTTTGTTTTTGCTTTTTTTGGTACCGGAGATTGAACTCAGGACCTTGGGTTTTCGAGGCAGGTACCAGAACAACTGAGCTAAATCCCTGGCCCCACAATCAATTTATTTTGCAATTAAAATCATGGAACGAGCCAGGAATTTAGCTCAGTGGTACTGCCTCCTGCCTCTCAAGCGCAAGGTCCCGAGTTCCATCCCCGGTACAAAAGAAAAAAGCCAATAAAATCATGGAACGAATTAAGTTTATAAACCAAGGTGGCATTGTATAGCCATCAACAGATGAATGGATAAAGAAAATGTGGTATTTATACACAGTGGAATATTTTTCTGACATAAAAAAGGATAAATTTGAGTCATTTATAGGAAAATGGATGTACCTTGAGACTGCAATGGTAAGTGAAATAAGTCAGACACATAAGATTAAATATCATATAAACATAACTTCTCTTATATGAGAAACCCAATGTATAGATAATTAAAATAAAAACCAAAAGAAAAGATGAATAATAGGAAACAAGGAGGTAGATCTTTTGAGAATGGAAAGGGGATCTATTGATGAATGAGGGGGTAGAGACTACTGTATTCAGTACATAATATTTACATTAATCTTAGGGACTAGCTACACATACATAATGTATCTTACTCTTTTTTAAATTTTCATTTTATTAGTATGTCTTTATAGCCCATAATGATTACTTGCATCTTGAGGAGTTGGTGCATGTCCACACCACATCTTAATCCTTTTTATTCCTCTTCCTTCTCCATCTACTTACTTTATATATATTTAAAGGAAGCATTCTGAAAATGCCTCAGATATTTTCCTGTTAACCAAGTACACTTTTCAAAACTCTAAATATAATTACTAAATTTTCCATAGAGTTAAGTTTTATTCCTAATTTTGAAAACTGAAACTTCCTTTCAAGTAGATAACAGTAGCCCAGCATAGTGGTACCTGCCTGTAATCCTAGTACTCAGGAGGCTGAGGCAGGAGGATCACCATGAATTCCAGGCCAGCCTGGGCTACATAGTGAGTTCAAGGTCAGTGTTGTCTCAAAAAACAAAAAACAAACAAAACCCCATGATATTTACATGGGCTAGGTTTCTGATCTAGGTTTTGAGCTCCCCCAACTCTGCAGTGCTGAAATTGAACCTAGGGCCTCATAAATGCTAAGCAAGTGCTCTATTTCTGGGCACCTTCTCCAATCTTCAGTCTTCCTTGATTTTCCCCTAGCAGATATGACTAACAAAGAAGGAGGTGTCATAATGGTGTTCATTAAAATGTAGCCATTCATAGTATTCCTACAGGTTGTTAAATTTCAGAAAGACAAAGCTCTTATGGCATGTCTTCTTCAACCACTTTAATTTTTGTTTTGTTTTCTTTTGGTGCCAGGGATCAAACTCCAAATCTTGTGCTTGCCAGGCAGACATGGTGCCACTGAGCTAAATCGCCAGCACAACTTTTTTTTTTTGTCCCAGAGATCGGAACTTCCGATTGCAAGGCAGGCAGTGGAACCACTGAGCTAAATCCCCAGCCTCCAACTTTTATTTTTTATTTATTTGTTTATTTATTTTTTTGAGACAGGGTCTCACTATGTAGCCCAGGCTGGCCTCTAACTTGTAGTGATCCTCCTGCCTCAACCTCCAGAGTGTGGGATTATAGTGTGCACCACCACACCTAGCTTTCAATTGCTTGTAGTTGTACAGGTATAGTGGAAAGGATCTCGATGTTAGAGTTAAACAGAGCCTCGGTCAAACTGGTCTCGTCATTTACCAGCTGTGAGAATGCAGTGCTGCCTCTTGCCAGGTGCCCTGTGAGACAGGCTCTAACACTTGAGCAACACAGACCCTTCACGAACCGAAGCTGTTTCTGGTACTCTGAGGAGAATGTGTGGAAAATGAGGAGCAACTGTGCCAGTATCAAGCAAGAACCTTGAAAAGTGAGGAAGAGTTGACCAGGCACGGACACAGCTCTTCGTCTCCTCTGTCCTGTAGCGATTTCTCCTAAAAGGTCCCGTCAGATAAAGAATTCTGAGCTTTTCCCCCTCATTAGGTTTCCTGCTTGAACCTCTCTTCTTCCTCCTGCCAGTGTTGTAAGAAGACGTTCACAGCTGCTGCTGATCTGCTGCTCTTTGACCTTTTCAGTTCTCCCAGCGCAGCACTCTGCTCCTGCTCGTGGTCACCCGAGTGGTGCTGGGAACTGAACCAGGGCCCTGGTCACACTAAGCTGTGCTCCTCCAGTACACAGCACCCACAGCCCCTTTTGCCCACTTCCAGACTTCACTTCTAGGCTTTCTGCCGCTTCTCCAGTCTCCTTTCCCTGCTGCAACCCTGCTCACTTCTGCACTCCTCGGAAGAGCTGAGAGCTGTGCTCTTCTTTTTGTTGTTGTTGGTTGGTTGTTTTGAGACAGGGGCTCCCTGAATAGTCCATGCTGGCCTTGAACTCTCCAATCCACCTGCATCAGCCTCCTGAGTGCTGAGATTATGGGCGTAGCCACTGTAGGTGGCTTTGTTTGGGAATCTTACTGTACAGTCCGTGCAGTTGGCCACTTATCTAGAGATTCTCATCCTGGGGCTCAACCCACAGTGAACCAGAGATACTTAGGGAAAAACATTGCATCTGTACCGGACATGGACGGGCTTTTTATTAGTCACTATTCCCAGAACAAGTAGTTTAGCAACAACACAGGCAGCATTTACATTGTTTCTACAGGTGATAAAGTATGCAGAGGGTTTGTGTGGGGTACATGCAGTTATGCCATTTTATACAAAGAGGCAGAGCCTCTGTTGTCTTTAATGTGTGTGTGTGTGTGTGTGTGTGTGTGTGTGTGTGTGTGTGTGTGTGCTCCTGCCTCCTGGAATGAATCCTGAGGCCCAATTATAATGCCTTTGTTATAATTTAACTTCACACTAGACAAAACATTTGTCTTTTCACCAAGAGCATTTCCTCAAAGTGGTGATTGCACTGTTAATATTTCTTAGTGTCCAACCAAGATGATAATAACTGTAATTCATGTTCCTTAGAGAATTCTACAAAAGAAGTCTGTGTGTCCGATTACCCCTTCCCTGATAATTCTGATAATGCATCTAAGGAATTAGGGCTTTCTTATCCAAAAACCACATGGGTCTATGGTTTCCTCAGCTACTTCTGCCTCAACTACTATTTTCTCCAAGCGATTGTTTTGCTGTATGCAATTATGTTTCAGGAGCGCCCCCTATCGGGCAATTGGCTTTCAGGGCCCGTGCAGTACACTACCTGAACATTGAGGGATGGCATAATTTCTGTTGCAGTTTCTATGGCAACCAAAGACCTGCCGCTTAGAGCAATGGCGCAACCCCAGTGTAAATTAGTAATTTTTTTTTCTCTTCCTTATCTCACTATGTCTGATAATTCTTGATGACTTCTTAAATAAAAAAACTTCCATAATATCCTTGAAACATACTGATTCCTATCCTTGTCTAACTTTCTTGCTTTCAAAAGTTG